GCCCATGTTAGTCTTGCTGAAGAATAAACTTATGTTTATTAATCCTTTGACCCGCATTTGCCACCCAGGAACGTATCAAATAAATTCTTACAAAGATCGCCGTCTTAACGTGCCACCACATCCCACAAGGTAACTACAGCTCTTACGGTTTGGGCTGTGCGTTGATCACCAATCCGTCAGTCAGTCAATTAGTCAGGACAAACAGTTTTATATATAGAGATTAAATTTTATATCAAATAACATACTTAGCGAAATATGAAAACAAAATTTCCCATATTATCTTCATTGGGTTGGGTATACACACAAGTTGTGTGCATAGCAAAAAGACGACAATTGAATGTATTCATAAATCGAGCTGATCAGCAATCATAGCCTAGATATGTTGCTCTGATCCAGCTATATATCGATCAAGTTTATTGCAGCCTTCGGTTGTTGCCCCAATTTGTAGCTTTTCAAACGATTTTGACGCTGATTATTTTTGCTTTCATCGTGACAAATCATGCGCAGCAAATCACAAATCGAATCAGAACGAGAATCAGAGCCAGTCAACAACATGAACAAGATCACTTAATCTGGCTGACCCCAGAGCGCACAGATTGTAAATGGTAAAAAGCAAGACTAGAAATGGAAACCAAGCCAAAGATGCAACGATCCAAGTGCTGCACGACAGACGGCGATGAAAGGAAATCATTGAGCCGAACATTCGAGCTGAGTCTGAGAGTCTGCGGCTATCTGCCATCAATTAAAGTAATTTAAAGGAGTCAGCCACCAGATGACGACGACTGCAGAGCACCAGATCCATAAGCTCAAAATCAATCAGCCAGAAAGTCGGGCCAAGCTAAGATACTGGAATACAAGAGTCAAAGCCTATTAGAAAGACAAGCGTGCGGCGACTCAAGGCAAATAACAAGAACAACAACAAAATTTAAAATTGGATGAGCTACATAGAAAAAGAAAAAAATAATGAAAATAAAAAGAAAACAGTAGCCACAAAATCGATTGTTGAGCTAAAAAGAGTTGACGAGACGAAGACGAAAAGTATCGGAAAATAACAGACGGCGCACAAGTCATCATTAACCAAACAGTAGCCAGTAAAACTGGAGGAGCTGGAAAAGAGCCCAGCCAAAGTGGTTGATAGGGCAGCACAGACAAACGGACGGACAGACAGACAGACTGACGGACGGACGGACAGCCAAACACGATTAGAATGGAGAGTGGATAAGCGTGTCTGCCAGCTATAAAAGTGTAATATCTGTAACTCATTAATGACAGCAATTTAAGACACAAAACGAAAAAAAAAATACAACTGTAGGAACAGTCGCAACTACAGAGTCCGAACCTCAGAGAGAGAGAGACAAGACTGAGACTGAGATGATTATAAAACAAGAAAGAATGGCCATCTTGCCGCACCGAAGATAAAATACGCTAGCAAACATGTGACTCAGAAATCCTTAAATACAACAGCTTTATGTCTGGCCGATCTTGTGATTTAGCAGGGCAATTCAACACGGTATTATGGAATAGCTGTGCTTGGTCGAGATATCTATAGAAACATAAGAGTTTTCAATACAAATCTCTTTTTTTGACAAATCTATGGCTAGAACATAATGAGACTGGATAGAGTGAAGTTTGGTCACGATATCTCGTATTAAATAAAAGTTATTCATATAAGAATTGAATATGCAGATCATCCAATATCTCTGCCTGTTTACTGCCTGACAAAAGCCCTAAATCTATATATAATTCTTCATCTATGCAACGTTACATATTTCGTGAAAACATTATAATACCCTATTTTAGGGTATAAAAACTAAATCTGTAGAGAAACAGCAGCAAGCAATTCAAATAGGCTTTGGGTTCGTAATTATCATAATGATGATAATGACTCTCGTCATGATGAAGTTGATGATAATAATGATGATGAAAAAGAAGAAGACGATGATAATGATGATGATGATGATGATGACTACGACTGGTTCCAATCAACTGCCACTTAACTAAATGACTGTGCGACTTACCCAGTCGCAGACGGACTCAGACCCCAGATACTGTCCGTCTCTCTAAGTGTGTGTGTGTGTGTGTGTGAGTGTGTGTGTGTACACCGATTTTATCATGAGTGACTGATGAATATGCCATTAAAGATATACGAGTACCACGTACCACACGATATATATACACACACACACACACACACGTGCTGAGAGAGAGAGGAGCAAGAGTTAGGTGGGATTGCCGGACGAACTGGCTAAACGGAATATAAAGCAGACACTGAGGTAGACAAATGACCAGCTGACAATAATGAAACTGATTCGTCGTTGTTGTTATTGTATTTATATATTTATATACATATATTTTATTTTTATTTTTATTATTTTTTTTATTTTCAGGCTATCATTTTCTATTTATTTCCAACTCTATTGTTTAGCTCTTATTGCAGTTATAAAACTGAAAATAGTGCTTCAATTAATACTTGAACTTAGTTTGAACTAGTTTGGAACTAGTTTGGAACTAGATTCGACTGAGCCTAGAAGATCTAAAGTAACTGTTAAAAAAACAAATAGCAAACAAATTTTGATAAAAATATACAAAAATGTTTCTTTTATTCTTATTATTATTATATTATAGGATACATATAAACATAGTAAGCTGGCTGGTTCGAAGTCAATGTTGGTCATTTTTACTAAAATTAATAACCAGCACAAATAAGCATAAACCCGCTATAAATTTAAAGCAAAGCTAACCAAATAATGTTATAAGCCACCAACCTAGATAATTTTAAATAGCACTGGCTATTATCGTCTTCGTCTAAGATTTGATCCATACATGAGCCGGGCTTAGACTAAAAATTGTTTACCATAGACCAGCTAGCCTTAGTTACCCCCGAATACTCACAAATTAAAGCAGGGTATAGGCGAATATGTTCAGACTCGTAAATCACTTCGCAAGCGAAGTTAATAGCGAAGCAACCACAGTAAAAACCAACTACAAGCAAATCCAGCATACCTCGCCCTATGGTCAATTTATGATTGCTACACTAATCACAGTTGGCTTCAACGGGTTCGACAGGCCGACGCCGTCGTCTGCCCCGCCCTGCAGCTCCCCAACTCCCCCGCCCATTTGACCAGTTGCCACTTCAAGCTGACTTCAGAGTTGCAGCCCTTTGCTTGGTTTTTATGTAAGCAATAGATTTGGGGCGGATACATATGATTTTTGGTCTATGGAGTGGGGGAGTTTATATTCGTGTTTCTGGGCCCGAGCCGTGGCTACTGTCTGTGGCCTGAACGGGCCAGTCAGTCGGTCGGTCGTTTGTCTGCTCGCCGGGGTCTCTTGTGGGGCCGCTTAATAATTTTTGGGTACGAAACAAATCTATGCATGCATTTCTGTTCAAAGTTTCCAACTCCAATTTTGGACTTGAGTTTATTGTTTTCTTGGCTTGTGTTGTCGCTTACGAGGCATGGAGGCATGGTCGGAGCGGGATGGGGGCTCAGAGTGTGCCATTAATTGTTTCTGGGTTTTTGTTTGCCCAGCGTCGCTTCGAGTCGGGGCCAACTTTCGAAAATGTTGGTTAGTTTTTTGTTTGATAAATGTTGCGCTTTGAAATATTAATTACACTTGCAGCTCGGGTGTTGAATTTGCTTTCAGGCGATGTCTAAAATTTATTGAAGACAAACACAAGACACTTTTAATGGCTGAGTCGGTGGCAGAACGGAACGGGAACATGGCAGGGGCATTGCTTTGCGGAGTTCCCCAGAGATTTATTTCATTGTTTTTGTTTCCGTTGTCCATCGAAAATTGAGTATTCTAACCTTAAGCTTTTGCCTTAACTGAATAACAAATTGCAATATAATGAAAAAAAAAGTTGAATAAATGCAACGATTTATATTAATGAAATATCTTCATTAGTAAGTATGTAAGCATATCTCTATATATTAAACTGTTTATCCTGACTGACTGATTGACTGACCGACTGATTGACCGACTGATTGGTGATCAACGCACAGCCCAAAGATAAGAGCTAGGAAGTTGAAAGGTTTACTGTAGTTTCCTTTTGTGATGAAGGTGCACGTTAAGACGGGGTTTCGGAAAATTCTATCAGCATGTGTGGAAAAATCGCGAAAAACGTTTGTATAAAAATCTAAAACTAATTTTCAAAGATCTTTGTCAAAATTCATCTGATGGGTGTTTCGCACATTTTGGAAAATCTATCTTGGTGGAAATGGAGGTCGAAGATTTGGAGGGTGATGTTTCATTGCCAAGGATCTGCCAAGGATTCTTGATCAGTATCAACAGCCGAGTCGATATAGACATGTCTGTCTGTCAGTTTCTATGCGAATTAGTTTCTCAGTTTTAAAGCTATCTTTATGAAATGCAGAAATCCCTCTTTCTGTTGCACGCAGTTCATATATCAAAACCAGCTGGATCGGACCACTATATCATATAGCTGCCATATGAACGATCGGTCGAAAAGTAGGTTCTTGTAAAAAAAACATTTTTGTTTATCAAGATATCTTGATCAAACTCGGCATTTATTAGTTTTACTATGCTCTCCATATATATGCAAAATCCTTTCAACATCGGACCACTATATCATATAGCTGCCATAGGAACGATCGGTCGAAAATTAAGTTGTTGTATGGAAAACTTTTTTGTTCTTCAAGATATCTTAACCATACTCGGCATTAACTATTCTCCCTGTGCTTCTTAGATACGGGCAAAGCACTATGAGCATTATGAAAAGGTTGGGTCTGCAAGGGTATTAAATCTTCGGCGTGCCGAAGATAGCCCTTCCTTCTCTTTATTAGCCTAATACTGATCATAGCTCAAGCAGACTTTAACGAAAATGAGGTAAAAAATAGATTATTTATCAATGTTTGTGTGCACTGCAGAAAGTAAATCGTCCTTTTTTAATTAGTCTTGTGTGCCAAACCAGAATAGCAGAGGAACAATGTGGAGAGTACACCTATAAAGCAGTGAGACCATTATTAAAGTATTTTCATCAGATGAAGGAGGAAATTGAAAGAAATAACAATAAAGTTGAAGGCAAAGACAGAGAAATCAAGCAACTGCAGGAAAAGCTGAACCAACGTAATGAATTGGTCATCGAGGAACTGAGAGCTCAGAATGAATTCTACATACAGATTATTAAAGAGTTAACGAAGAACGTTTTATCCATAAAAGAGGAAATGGGTAAACTCACTTCCAATGCCTTAAAAAGCCAGGACTATGAAGAGCAGCTGGAGAAACAAAAGAAGTCAATTGATCAAAATGATCAACAAATATCCGAACTGAAAAACGAAATCAACATTTGTGCCAAGAAACTAAAAACCGGCAAAGAGAAGCCCGTTAACAGTGAATGCACCGTCTTTGCTGATGCTCCGGGTATTCATACTCCGGATAAAGAAGATCCATTCGATGTACTTTGTGATAGCGCGACAGCAGGTCCCGGCTGGACGGTTATCCAGCAGCAAATCAATGGCAAAGAGGATTTCTATAGGGATTGGGCCACATACCGTGAAGGTTATGGTAGCTTTGATAATGACTTCTTCTTAGGACTTGAGAAAATTCATCGCTTGACGAGCGCCCAGCCCCATGAGCTCTACATACATATGGAAGGATTTGATGATGTCGTCCAATACTATAGTTATAAACAATTTGCTATCGCTGGCGAGGACGATCAATACAGACTGATCACATTGAACAAAGGTAAGGGGACTGCAATACGATCGTAATAATGATGCTTGGAGTCATGGCAACTGCGCAAGTAAAGGCAATAACGCTGCTGGCTGGTGGTACAAAATGTGTGAGGATAGGTATGAATTCCCGGAAAAAAACCTTAAATTATCTTTAATTATTATTTTTTTTTTATAGTACCGTCTCGTTGAAAACAGTCAAAATGCTTATACGCCCCAAAAGCAATGGAAACAAAATAAAATAATAATTATAATATAATTATAAAGAGACATAATTCAAAATTAGATTTTCAAAATAACTAATTAGTTCTCAAGGTGTAATAATTTGTAAAAATGTTTAAGCAAAATCATCCCAACAATATCATTTTTGGTGGCTTTTATTCCGATTTGACAAAATGGTTAACAGGATCAGCCCGAGCTGTTAGAAAATGTTTATTAATGCTAATGAATGTCTAAGTCTGTGATGCTAACTGCATTAGATGCGGATTTAGCTAACTAACCAACTAAATGGAACTCACATATATCATTCGTCGGCTGCCAATCAAAAGTTTTGCAAGCGACTCGGCATAATGAAAGTGCTCCGTTGGGAGCTGTTGAGGTTGTCCTCGCTCAATATCCGTTGTCATGGCGCCATGGCAATGGTCAATTACAGTCCAGCCGGAGGACAGTGAATGCCCCTAGACTATCCACCTCTCCTCTGCACACACAGACACACACACACACACCGCTCACACATTGCCATTGACTATGCAACGAAGTGTAAATGAGCAAAATATTACGGAAAATTGCAAAAATATGCCTCGGGCAGCAGCAAATATGTAAAAGCCACAGCAAATGAAATGATCTGTGGGCCCAGTATCCCTCTCTCTATATTATATATATAGTATATATGTATATACCGATAGCTTGAATGAGGTGAAATGCGGTTGGGCTCTGCTCCCTGAAATATGACGCCCGTTGATGTGTAGCCTCTGTCAGAGGAATAATCGAATGCAAAATAACTTTTTCAATTTGAACGCCCGCCGCGCCCGCCTCAGTTGACTGCCATCACCTTGCACCGCCCACAAACCAACCAACCCACCCACCCAGCCAGTTATTATTATTGTTGTTGTTGTTGTTGTTGTTGATATTGCTGCTGCTGTTGTTTGTGCTCACGTTTGCCACATTTTCCACGATTTCCATGTTTAATTATAAGCCTGATGCCGCTGCCTCGGCCTGTCCGCAGCCTCTCCTCCGCTACTGAAGCTGCCACAAGGGAAATTTGTACAAGGGCGGCACAGTGGGACAACAGTCGTTGCAACTCAAAATAAGAAAAACAAGAATGCAGATTGCAGAAAAATATTATAAATGCTCGCTCTATTAAAACAAGTAACAAAATGTATTCTTTATATAGAACGTATTTCAGTAAGCATAAAAAAGTGTCATGTATGAAAACAACGAGCCTAAATATTCAAACATGAGGCCCACTGTGCAGTCTCCTGGTATATCGTTTGAAGCTCATTTCAGTGGCAACAGGAGCCGCAGCTCTGTTGACTGGCAAGTGTTTCGCCCAAATTGAATATTGATTATGAAAATAATAAGCAAAAATTGCGTAACTTTCTGCCTGACAGCAGCCACGACGGCAACAACAACAACAACAACAACTGTGAGAGCCTAAGGACATCCGCGTGTCCGTGTCCGCGTCGAGACGAGACGATGCGAGGCGAGCGTTCGACTTGAAGCAAAGGCTCAAGTGTCCATTGATTGACTGCCATTAGGGCGTATACGTAATAAGCAGGCAGCTGCCTAATCAAAGAGTGTTAATTTTCCCAAAGGACTCGCCTCGCATTACGGCTGCCCCGCAGCCCGCACCTAACGTAATTCAAGCATATTTTTCGCAGCAAAAGAAAAAGTCATTTGAGCGTATGCGAAAATTGACGAACATTTCGTGTGTCTATGATGAAAATCCAATTTGTTGCTCAAGTTTTCTTCGTACCCCGTCAAGCAGCAACAACAGGGGCATCAGCAACAGCTGCCCGTTTCCAACGGCTCAAGCTACCGTGTTCGCAGTTGTTGTTTATTGATAAATCAAGCAATTAAATGCGTTGAGCGCATTGTTTGCTTTTAATGAAAATCTAATAAATTCGCACGTGAATCGAACTGGGACAACAAGAGCCTGCCCCATCGTGTGGCAAGTCACGTGCGTGTTGCATAATTCTCAAGAGCCGGGCGAGTTGTTTAACATTCATGTTAAAGCACCAGCAGCAGCTGCTCTCACTTACCATAGATAATTAACGGAGCTTAATTCAACTTGCTTAAGTTATGGACAACAGTTGGCACTAAAGACTCGCATAGTCGTGTTTATACTTTAAAACTTACCATATAAATCAAGAAGAAGATTGCTTCGAGCCAGCCAATTAAGCAAGTCACATGGGCTGCAAGGATTCGGGTTCGAGTCCCCAGGCTAGCCGAAAGGAAGGCAGCATAAACATCCTATCAAAATAATAATTATATATATAATTTATATATTTAGACTGACTGATTCAAGTCCAGCCGTGGCTTAGGTACACACTAACTAGCGACAGGTCGCCGGTTCGAATTCAGCAACAATTTTCAATTTTATACTTGCTTAAATGAATTGTTAATTACAATAAACATTTTAATTTGGATATTGATTGTTTCGTCAACCACAATGCTCTCATATATATTCCTAGAAGAGCACAGCTGTTCGATTGAGTGAAAAGGTGGGCTAAGCATACTGAGCACAAAGTTTGGGGATCGAGCCACAGCAGACTACTATTCCTCTTATTTAAAATAGAAAATGTAAGCGAATTAAACCAAATATTTCGGCAATTCTAACATTATTCATTTGCTCCGGGCAAGGCCGGGTAATTTCCAGCAGCACTAATCAACAAGTATATTTTCCATCCCACATCTGAACTTCAATTTATAGTTATCTTCGCTCTTTATATTTGATACTTTTCTATGCCTCGTAGCTATTTTTTATACCCTTGCAGAGGGTATTATAATTTTGTCGTGAAATGTATAACGTATAGAAGGAGACATCTCCGACCCCAAAAATGTATATATATCCATGATCAGTATCAACAGCCGAGTCGATATAGACATGTCCGTCTGTCCGTCTGTTTCTATGCGAACTACTCTCTCAGTTTTACAGCTATCTTTATGAAACTTTGCAGAAATCCCACTGTCTGTTGCACGCAGTACATATGTAAGTCAAAACCAGCTGGATCGGACCACTATATCATATAGCTGCCATAGGAACCATCGGTCGAAAAGTAGGTTCTGGTATGAAAAACATTTTTGTTTATAAAGATATATTGATCAAACTCGGCATTAATTAGTGTTACTATGCTCCTCATATATGTGGAAAATCCTATTAAGATCGGACCACTATATCATATAGCTGCCATAGGAACGATCGGTCGAAATTAAGTTGTTGTATGGAAAACTTTTTTGTTTTTCAAGATATCTTAACCATACTCGACATTAAATATTTTTCCTGTGCTTCTTAGATACGGGCAAAGCACTATGAGCATTATGAAAAAGTTGGGTCTGCAAGGGAATTAAATTTTTGGCGTGCCGAAGATAGCCCTTCCTTCTCTTTTTGAATTGATCTTTACACATCTTTATATTTCTTATTCTAGCTCTTCCTCCATAAATTATTATGGAATATCGACAAGCTCCTACATGTGTACGTTTAGATTGTGGTGATTGATACATAAAATGGCACACATTAATGTAGATAAGTGGGTATAAAATTGATGGTACATGTTTAATGAAAGAGATTTCAATTTAACTATCCACTAAACATTAAGTTCGATATGGTAATTTACAGAGATTAAATTAATTTTGACAATACTTAAGCTTTCGCATAACACACACAGATACAATCGTAAAAGGAAACTTAATGGACTTTATGGGTATACATACATCAATAAAAGAAAATGCACCTAACGAAAATGATGTGTGCTTATGAATAAAGATATGAATATATACATATATACAAATAGATTGGTTTAGATATATATATATAAACATAAATCCTTGAGGAGCTGACTGCATATCAATCTGTAATGTGAAAATAGTGACGAAATTTTTGTCAGTGTATTCACAATAAGTAGCAATAACTTTGTATCGCTAATAAGCTTATGTCAGCGTTAAAAGTGACTCATCTGGCTGAAATGGGGCAATTTGTCAGTTAATAGGCAATTCATTTAAGATTAATTGCATCCTTGCCAGGACTTAAAGGACTAGCCCGCAGCTAAATACCATAAAGAGTACCCATATAGCAAGTGTCGGGGGCGAACGTGTTGGATGTCTTCATATTATTTTTCTGCAATTTTACAGCATTTAAATTGCTTGAGGCTAATTTGTGAATTGCTGCGACATCGCATCAAAGGTCCTCGTAAATTTCCTATGCCACATAACATATATATTGGAAACGAAACGGAAGCTGAGCAGCAAAGGAATAAAACCAAAAAGCAATAATAATAAGATATCATGTGGAAACTCTAAGCAACAAAACGCAATAAAAGTTTGAAGTAATTTGTGCCTATTTTAAATAAGAAAACAAGAATTCATCACACGCATGCCAAGGTCTCAATTACGATGGGAACATGAAGGGGAAACGGGTGCCAGGGGCTTGGCCGGGGCGGGGCGGGGCGGGGTAGGTGCCACTGTTAAATGAGCGCGCCGCAGGGGAACAATTAAAAAACGTAACGTGATCAAAATTTGGAATTTCTTTTAAGGTCCTTGGAACGTCGCCTTTGCTATGAAATTAAACAAAGTGCCGGCGCTCCGAAAGGCGCTCGGAAAACACATAAAATGTGAAAAACTGCGCCCGAAGTTCGTAAAATTTTAATGAGTTTTCCCTGCGTTTGGTTTTGCACAGCTTTTTAATGCTCAATTGACGCAAACGAGAAAATGTTAATATAAATTTATATAAGAATTAAAATGTTGAGCACAAAATAAATTTCGTTTATAAATTAAAGAAATTTCGAGTTTTTTCATTGAATACACACACTTATCCATTTACAGGGAAAATCAAGCGGCAAAATGTTTATGGCATAATTAATTTAATAACATGCATGAAATTTTAATGAATTTCCCAAGATTTTCATAAAATAAAATCTGGCTAGGAATCTGCTCAATTTTAATTCCAGCGAACAGGATTTTATAATTCTGATTAAAATTTTCTTTTGTTTTTCACAGCCTACGCCAGGCTCCGTTTCCTGATCCCAGCAAATCCAGAATTTATGTTTTGTAATTTAACATGAAATTAGAGCCAATAATATATATACTTAAAGGTATGTTTAAGCTGAAAGAAGCCAGAAAATATGATTTCCTTTTGAAGAACCCAGAGGAAACCCATTCGCCTAACTCTATGCCCATTAAGGTGATAATTATGTGAAGGTAGGCTAGAGAAGCTGCATAGCAGGTAGCCAAAAAAATACAAAAAAAAAATGCTGGTATTTAAGCGGGGGACGCCCTCATCAAGTGTCAAGTGCATAATTAACCACTAAAAAGCGTTCCGTGTGTCGATCTCTCAGCCGACAAAGAGCCCAAAAGGCAACAACAACAATAACATTGGTCAAAGGTAAGGGTCGAGCCTTGCGTCTGGATGGGATGGGGTGGGTCCTAAGCACAATGGGACCCACTCGTACCTTTTTGGCCCGGCAGGGGGAAGGCCAAAAGAGAAAGTGCCACTGGACAGACAAATAGAGCAGAGCGGGCAAGTGAGCAGCAAAAGACAAAAGGTTAATTACAACAACGACAACAACGATAACAACAACAATCATGAAATGATCAAATTAATAAAGAGCTGCGGACAATCAAAAAGCGAAGCAAACAGAATACAAGGCCGAGCGCGAGGGCGAGGGTAGTTGGGAAAAGTGTTTTGGGAAAATCGCATAGGAAAAATTACAGCACAAATGGAAACAAATGTGCGCACACGGCGACGGGGGATGGGGCTTAAGGTACCCGGCTGACTGCATGGAAATAGAAATGGAAATGGAAACAAACATAAATTTAATTTATTTGCGCGTAATAAACCACAAACAAAACTCGTGAGTCTCGCGAATGAATATGCGTACCCCCTGGCCCGACCCCGCGTCCTGCCCTGCAACTCGACAGCTACAATTTTTGGCCAGCTGCCCCCTTCCCTTCCCCTTCCCTCTCACGCTTCCACACGTCAACTGCCAAATGGAAATGGGTGGAAGAGATAGAAGAAGAGGGAAAAATATGAAAATAATAACAAAAACATTTGATTGTGAAAATTAAAAAGATGATTTCTCACACGCCCAGCGGCGTTGCCAACGTCATTCTCATCATTCTCATTTCGATCATTCTCATTCTCATCATCAACATCATCATCGGCTTCATCATCGGATATATCATCATAATCATCGTCAGTTCACAGCACAAAACACGAACAAACATCGCTAATGGTTTGGGGAGACGGTCTAGAGAGTTGAAAATGGATATGTTTTTTTTTCAGTACGGAGGGAGGGGGAGGGTCTGAAATGACGATGGATTCGCAACTTGCAACTGACTGATGATGCTGCCGTGTCACAGTGGGCAAATCCCTATTGATCCTGGTTAAACGAATATCCAATCAAACAATAGAATGCCATACAAGCGAGTATCGGAAGAAACATACGGAAAGTATGCCGATAAGATAGGTCAAATAAAAAAATTTAAAGAAAAACTTTAATGTACAAATTATTTAATGAAATTCTCCCATTTCTTATTAGACATTTGCACAATTCTAATGCATTTCATGCATATGATACACTGTAAGAAGTTGGATATTATATTAATGTAATAATTCTTTGGAAAAGGAAAAATTTCTATTACATTTTTATATTACTTTTTGAGTATTTGAGGCACTTTTTAGAATCCATTTATCATATTCTCACCTCCTCTCCCACTCTATCTCTCTATCATTTTATTGAATAATAAGCTCTTTAAAAAATGTATTGATTATTTCCTTAAACTACAGCTCAATCATGTTAGTTGAAATGTGCACAAGTCCATTGGCAACATCTTCATAAAATCCACCGAAAATCCAAGTTATTGAACGAAAATATTTGATATACTCTAGTAATATTCCAAGTTTTATCATAAATATGGAAAGGTCGCCAAAACCATCAATTTTATCATATAGTAAATAAGATTAGTTATTCATCAACATTCACCCTTTGAAAGCACATCCACATAATATCCTGTATTCGAACCCGATCTTTTGTTATAGTTATATAGATTATGTCTTTTGTTATTATTGAATTTATTTTATTCGATCGGGATGACGCATCTATAGGGTGCATGTATTCGCACTATAAAAGCACAGTTTTACCCATGGTTACCCTTGGTTAAACAGCCTCCATTCGAGCTCATCTTCTGTGCTGGCTGTTGCCCCTGGAAACGTTGGCTGACGTGGCGTGTGTTGTTTGTGCAGCCGCCGCTGCCGCCGCCGTCGCCGCCGTTGCATGTTGACAGATAAACAAAAACAACATTTGGGATGAATAGGCAACGGCTACGGCAACGGCAACGGCAACGGCAACGAGAAGAGCCATAGCAATGGCTCAGCCAGCAGGAGCAGCGCAACCCGGTGAGCACCCTATTAATGCTTATTACACACAGCAACAAAGAGAAACAAACAGAACAGCCCAGAACAGTTCACCTAGTGTTGCCGCCAGTGTTGCCAACTGTCGTTACAAAATAAGCAGCTAAATCTAGTGTTAAAAGAAGCTAAAAATATCTGAAACAGCATTCTGTGCACAAATTGATCAGGCTTCTACACAGGATTCATTTTGGCGATAAAAAAGTACCCTCCCAAAATGTGACTTGGCTATAAAATAGATTACTTTTGCCCTACCTTCAAGTAGTGCTTGAAATCTGGAGCATTCATGCAATAAACCAACAAATAATTTAATTCGAAATATTATTTTAAATATCTGTTTAAAAATAGCAGGCATTGCGGATGACCTCAGCCATATTTAGCTATAAAATAGCTAAATTTGGCAACACAGCTACCCGCACATGAGCTACCCTATCCCCCCGAGCCAACGGTGTGTCCCTTAAGCGCAGCGAGTGCGCGTGATTGCGTGCTACTAGAGAGAAGTCTCCCTCTCTCTCTCTCTCTTTCTCTCGCACTCTTTCGCTCCCTTTCGCTCCCTTTGGCTGCTGGTGTAGCTGCCTCAGCGAAGGTCCTCGCTGCTGCTTTCAAGTGTTGAGCGTGTCGAGCGAATCCTTGTTTACCGTTGTTGCAATTGTTTTCGTCGTCATTATTATCGCTGCCAGTTGTTGTTGCTGTTGTTGTTGTTGTTGTTGCTGCTGCTGTTCTTGTTTAATATTACATGACCAGCATCCTTCGTGTCCTTCTTGGCAGCTTGTTAAGCGCTCAAGTGCTGTGGCAAATTCGTTTTGAACGCCACTCCAAACGCTCGTCCAGCCACGGTGCAAGCCCAACGCGGGGCAACCCACTGCCACAGCTGGAGTTCCATATTGTTGTTGCATGCGCCCCGGCGGCACAGTTGCTGGCGACGACCTTTGGCGCATTCGAAGCACTCAGGAATTGCACAAAAACAGGACGCAGAACAGCCGAACATGAATCCAGACGCGACTCCCGTTGAACAGCCGTAGAACGGAACACATGGCAGAGTGAAATGTGGAAAAGGCCATGTAATTTGTTCTCCACTCCAACTGGGAGTTTTTCCAGTTATAACACTATTCAACTCCCGCCCCGACCCGCCTCCAAGAGCTTTGTTATGGTCGCCCCTTGCCGTGAAGGTTTTACTTTCCGCTTTTCATACGTATATGCCATATATACCATTATACCTGCATGCTATAGAGAAGTCAAGTCAGAGGGCAGAAGTTGAAAAGTTTAAGGCTCGTGTAATTAAACATTATGAATATTTAATAAAACACTTGCTCGACTATATGGTACCCTGCATAGAGGTCTGAGCTCTGTATTTTTATCACCACTAATAAAAAAAACTACTTTACAATTTTGAAAATCGCATAGAGAGGCAAACTTTTAAGAAAGAGTCAGCTCTTCGGCTCTGTCTTCGTTACACTTGCTTTTCCGCGCACTTACTCTCTCAAACAGTTACTTGAATTCATGAGATTCGTAAAGATGTTGAAATTAAAATCTCTTATTTCGCTGCTGCACACATATGGAATGAAAATGTCACCTGCAATAAGTGTCGAGTGAAATGGGCGTGAAAGTAAGATTGAGGCAGGACGGAAATAAAACCGAAGTTAGGCACATAATTGGAAAAGTTCATATTTCACTGACATTGGGCAATTAAATGCAAAGATCGAGCCAAACTCCATTGAGCGCTGTTGACCATTTAGCCTGTACGGGGCACAAAGCCGTCGAGGGTGCAGGGGGTGTAAGGTTTTAACGTGGTACGGCATGAAGTGAGTGGTAAAATTGAATAAGGCTAATGCTCACCAACTGTCAAGTGCAGTTAGACAAACACAGCAAAAATAAGCAGAAAAAAAAACGACAGCAACAAAATACACACCCAGGCACGACAACGCAAACAACAACAGCAACAACAACAACAACAGCAACAACAACAACAACAGCAACAACAAGAATAACAACACATGCGACACTTGACGCTAAAAGTAAACGCTGGCGACGCCATTAGGCGCAAGTTGGCCTGCAGAGCAGCGGGCACCTAACCTCCATTTCCATGTCCATCAGGCAATGGGCAAAAGGCAACCAACAACAAGAGTTAAACAACTTTGAGCATTTTCGACAAACATGTCACATATTCATATGGGCAACGCCTAACGCCCCCACACCATCTACCCCTCTGACAAGCAGCGGGGACAGCACAGTGGAACAAATCGCATAAAATATTATATAAAATCTATGACAAAATTCGAACACTTTTTTTTTGTCATTTTGTTACATTGTTAAGATAAAATGTAATGGACATTCAGAAAAAGAAATTGTTCAGAAGTGCATGTATTTATTAAAAATTTTGTACTTGTGCGCAAAATATTATTGATTGCTTTATTTTTTGAATAATTGTACTTACCTTAGCATTAAGCATGATTGTGTTAAGTTTGGTTGTAAAATCTGTAAATGAAAGGAGTTATTAATTAACTAAATATGTGTTTATGACAGTTTACAATAAATAAACTAGTTCAAAGAAAACGACTTTGGTATTGCTTGGGATTTATTTGTTGCTTTAAGCTTTCAATTCTCAACAAGTTAAGGGCTCGCATAAGGCTAGTTGATAACTACGTCTGCTAATGATAGAGCCGGAAAGTTCTTCAAATGACAATATAGACAACTTGCACACACTTTGTGGTTTATATAATATAAATTAGAAAAAACCCCAAACTTGTTCTAATCTAATCAAAACAGTATGTTATTCAATAACATGATCATTTTCATGCATCGATTGCGGGCTTCTGTTACACTGTGCGGCACTTGACACCGTCGCCGCGGCACCAACGTACCTAGCAACAGCGTTGCGACGTACCGCTAACATCTCGATACCGCTCCCGTCCCGGCTCTGCACGTCGATCGAAATCGAACCACACCATGCCGCCGCCGCCGCCGTCGCTGTCGCCCCCGTCGCCTTCATGTGGCCCTTCAATCAGCTGTCAAATGAAAATGTCAAAATATCAAAAGTGAAAAAGGCAAAGTAAACTTAGGCCCGGTCCGGGTCCCGAGCCCAAGAGCCCATTATTGTATTTCTTTGGCATAGTCAGCCTTTTAAGAGGTCGTTGTTGTTGTTGTTGTTGCCGATGTTGTTGCTGTTTGTACGAATGTGTATGCTGTCGCTCGGTCCGTTGATTCGTTAGTTTCGTTAGTTCGTCATGCAATCAGTCAGTCATCCACTCAGTGCGTCAGTCCGTCAGTTGATTCCACTGCCTGTTGTTGGACGACGACGACGATGTTTGCCTCTAAGTGGCCCTAAAACACAACAAAACTGAAAACTGAAAAAGGAAAATCAACAACAACAACAACACAGTCTAAAATAAAACTCAAAATGCATACAGAGCGTAAAACAAAAGGAATAAACAAAGACAGAAACACACACAGAGAAAGAATACATATAAATAGCGTTATATTTCAGAAATCTATTGGATATAACAAGTTCAAGAAAGACATTTGTAGTCATAGAAGAAGCAGTGGAATACCTAGATGATGGGATACACAGTACAAAATTTTAATTCATTTGTTTACGAGTCACCATAGTGAAAAAACTATACCTAGCTCCCAAAGACCCCGAGATCAGTTGAATAAAATGAAAAGGTATAGATCGAGTATAGTCTTATATAGTACTCAATATTCAATACTCAATTAAATGATGGTTTTGTCCCTTGCTGTTCCTTGTTTTTTGATTACAAAAAAGTGTTGGATATAACAAATTCAAAAAAAAAAAGATCGGTTTTATAGAAGCCGAACATAAGATACATATATAATTTGTAACCATCATAATAGACAAGAAATTAAAAAAAAATCTTTTAATAATCAGCATATAGAAAAAATATATCTAGCTCCTTAAGTCCTCCAGTTCAAATCATGAACTTAAGTGTGAGTTTTTCTTTTCTCTTGATTCCTTTACTTTCATTATATTTTAGAAATGTATTGAATGCAATAAATTACATACATTAGATACCTAGATGATTTCCTAGCATTATAATTTGCGCTACAAAATTTTAATTTATTTGACTAGCTCCTAATTTATAGAATACATACATAAGATACCTAGCAATATTTTAATTAATTTATTTACGAGCCATTAGATACAGGAAATCATATAACTAGCTCCTAAAGTCCCCGAGATCAGCGAGAATAATATGAAAATGCTGTCTGAATACAGATATGGATTAAACATAAATCTATACTCAAATCAGAGTGGCTTTATTTTGCAATGCTCTCAATTGTTTTTCAACTTTAAGAAAAAGATCTGTATTTAAAGATTACATACATCGAACAGTAAATTTTCTTCTTCTCAAGCTTCTCAAGCTCCCAAGTTCAGCAAGAACAGTATGATAAGGCTAACGGAACAGGTATAGATCGAATATAGTCTTATACTAAACAAAGCGTGGGTTTATTTTGCAGTGCTTTCTCTTGTTTTTCCAAAAATTAATCAAGTGAAAAGGCGAGAAAATGTCGCAGAAGCCAAACCAATTTGGAGACGAAGGTAAAAACTAGTTTCATCTCTTTTAAGGTGTGACAAAAATCAAGCAGAGGTAAAAAAAAAAATAAAAATAAAACAAAACGCCACGGGGAGGGGTAGGAGCAGCGACGACGACGGGACAAACAATTCGAATTGGTTATGAACACGTTTGACATTTAACGTCCCAGATCGAGTTTGGCATTGCAAATGGATTGGCAAAGTCGATTGCAATGACAATAACAGCCCGTAAGAGTGAACTTGAGCGAAAGGGTTCGACTAGCCAATACCCTATACTGTGCAGCAGAAGAGCCCTGCTCTGGTAAAGTTACGTATTTTTAATAACTTATCTGTTTTAAATATTATTGTTGATACAAATTCTCATTGCTGTTAGCATAATATTATTAGTTAGAATTTTTACAACTGACATTACAAAAACCTGCATGAACATTTAATGAAAA